ACGGGCATTTTGAGTGGGTTGTCATGCCCTTTGGCCTCACCAATGCCCCCGCGACTTTCCAAGGAGCGATGACGACTGAGTTTCACGACTTGCTCGATCGCAGCGTCCTCATCTACCTTGATGACATCTTGGTTTAAAGTAGGGCGTTGGACGAGCACATCGTACACCTTCGCACTGTTTTGGATCATTTGCGACTGGCCAAGTACAAAGCGAACCTCGACAAGAGCGAGTTCGCCAAGCAGGAGCTTGAGTACTTGGGTCACTTTGTCACGCCGAAAGGCATTCGTCCCTTAGCGTACAAGATCCAAGCCATCGTGGATTGGCCGGAACCCCGTTGCATGACGGATGTACGCTCTTTCATGGGTTTGGCTGGATAGTATCAGCGATTCGTCGAGTCATACTCGAAAGTGGTCGCTCCTTTGTCGAAACTTTAGTCCCCGAAGGTGCCCTTCGAGTTCGACGACGCAGCCCGTGGCACGTTCACTACGTTGAAGGCAGCGATGCAAGCCGCACCTGCCCTCCGTATACGACCCCACCCTTCCCACCCAAGTGACTACGGACGCTTCGGGATACTGCATTGGTGCGGTGTTGGAACAATGTCACGAGGACGGTTAGCATCCGGTCGAGTACGTCTCCCAAGAGGTGCCTCTCGTCAACACTCCAGGCAACGCTAGGAAGAAAGAGCTACTCGTGTTCGTCACCGTTCTCAAACGGTGGCACCACTTTCTTCTCGGCCGTCGGCGTTTTAAATGGAATACGAACAACAATCCGTTGACCTTTTACAAAACGCAGGATACGGTCACTAGCACGATCGGTCGATGGATGTATTGCATCGACCAGTTCGACTTTGACCCGTGCCACATTCCCGGTCCCGCCAATCGAGCTGCGGACGCCCTCTCACGACGGCCCGATTTTTGTGTCATTGTGACCACGACATTCGACCTCGATGACGATCTGCAGCCGCATTTCGTCAAAGGCTACAAGTCCGATCCGACCTACTCTACGCTTTACGCGGAGCTTTCATCGGATCACCCGCCGGCTAGCCACTATCGGATTTCCGACGGGTTCCTYCTCCTTCACACGAGAGGAAAGGACTTGTTAGTTGTGCCCCACGATCGCATCTTACGGACTCGTCTTCTCGGCGAATTCCACGACGCACGACTTTCGGCACACCTTGGCATGAACCGCACATTAGCACGCCTCCGCCAGCGTTTTCACTGACCTGACGTCCTTCATGACGTCACGAGGTACRTTGAGTCATGTGCAGTTTGCCACCGTAACAGGGGTCGATCTCGAGTCCCCTTCGGCGAACTGAAACCGTTGCCGATTCCTCGGGCACCGCGCCTCTCCATTGCTATGGACGTGACAGGCCCGTTCCCCCGCGATCGCCACGGCCATGACGGTATTCTCAYGGTCGTTGACCGTTTGAGCAAGTACGCTCGCTTTCTTCCGTGCAAGTATCATGCTGCAGCGCCGGAGCTCGCACGGCTCTTGCACACCGGTTGGATTACCAACCAGGGTGTTCCGGAAGACATAGTGAGCGACCGAGATACTCGCTTCATGTCGACCTTTTGGACTTCCCTCATGGCTGAGTCCGGTACGACAATGAAGCCGAGCTCGGTKCGGCACCCGCAGACGGATGGCCAGACGGAGCGAGCGCACCAGACCACTCAGATGATGTTGCGTACGCTCATCCGTCCCGACCAGAAAGATTGGGTTGACCGGCTTCCCGACATCGAGTTCGCCTATAACACTTCGGTGCACCCGACGATATGCGTCACACCATTCGAGCTACATCATGGTGGAGAGAAAGCACGGATCTTCGCTGATCTCCTTYTGCCACAGGCTGCCGACATAGACGTCCCTTGCTCTCCCGCTTCCGTTCGGAAGTACCGGGACTTGCTGATCAAAGCCCGCGCGAATACGCAAAAGGCTCAAATCCGCATGCAACAGCAAGCTAACCGACGTCTACTTCCATGTCCTTTCCGCGAGGGAGACCTTGTTTGGGTCCTCTCCGAGGAATTTTCGCAAAAGGCTCGAGCGAATACGCAAAAGGCTCGAGCAGGACGTTTCGCGCAAACTCCTTCCGAAATGGTTCGGACTATGGGAAGTCACTTCTGCCATTGGAGACGACCCCGCAGGTCCTTCCTTCATGATCAACATTCCACCGCACCTTACAGTGCATCGGGTCTTCCACGCATAGAAGTTGGCCATCTACACGCCACCTTCACTTGACGAGTTTCCCGGACGTCGATCACAGGATCCGCCTTCCATGGACGGACATCAGGAAGTTGACCGAGTCATCACGCACCGCAAGTATGGCAACAAGCCAAGGCAGTACAAAGTCAAATTCAAGCAATGTGCGCCTGACGACACTCGGTGGATCTCTAGTGCAGACTTGCAGACTTTTGCACCCCTTATCTTCGCCAACTATGAGAAGACACGACTTGCCAAGGCAGCAGCTCGTCCCACCCGACCCATCCCGGTATCGGACAGACAACTCCGCCCTCGCAAGTAGCTCGGTCTTTTAAGAGAAGGAGTGTGTTACATCTTCGACGCCACACGGGTCCTACCGGACCCGACTTAGGGTTAGAGGGACACAGTAGGGCCTAAAGGCCCAACCTTGGGGGTACTACAGGCCGTAAAGG